TTTATTTTAAAAAAAATATCTTTACAGAGTTTATATCAATAAACTTCAAAAAAATAATTTAATTCAATTTCCAAAATATTTTATTACTCATAATAAAATTTAATTTCGTAGAAAAAAATCAATGGTGATCAGAAAATAATTTTTTTCTGTTTAAAATCACATAAATAATTTATTTTACAAAGTCCATAAATTGGAAATTTTATTGGAGCAAAGAATACCTACGATTAGTCCGTCGTGGGTACAAATAAATTCTACAGTAAAAAATAAAATCAATAATTAATTAGACACTCCAATTAACCGAAAAAAGATAAAAAATTTTATTGATGCCTTTTTGTATATTTATAGAGTGATAAAAATTATGATTAATACTATTTTTTTCTTATATATCCAATCATATGGAATTAATATTCTAGAGTAAAAAAAGAATTTTATGTCCTTAAAGAGGAAAAGAGATTACAGAAGATGTGCTAGTGTAGGCTGTATAGGAGCAGTGTATTACTATATATAATATGCGTACGAATTAAAGAGTTATTTGAGTCTGAGAGACGGCCATAACTTTCGCTAAGCTATTCCCGTGCTCGCTGACTGGAATATTTTAACATGGGGTGGGTGGGGTGGTTTTAGGCTTTTGATGAGTTTAGGTATGCGACACAGTAGGAGAGCCTGTAGGGCAGTAGATCCGTCGACCAGGCAACTTGCTGGCAGACATCAGAAGGAAAGGAGGGTCTGTACTCTCCACGCAGCTGACAGCTGTTCCCTTGGTGGGCCGGTCGGTGGGGAGGATTCAACCTAGTCGCGCCCCTTCTATAATGGCTCCCTTTTCTTCCTCCCTCTGCCCAGCATGGCTGGCACTCTCCTAGTTACGTCATCGACTCGAGCCATGCGTAAATACTGACGTCAGATGTGTCGTGATATTAATGGCTTTGTGACGTAGACGCTAATCGATTGGCTTGATTTCGATTTCTTAACCCTCGAGAGCGAGATTTTTTTTAATTTTAAGCGGAATAATTGATATAGCAATTTATGGATTCAAGATTTAATGGGGTTTGGGTAATTAAAAATGTTGAGTACATTATGGATGTCGTGATTATGGTATGGAATAGGGAGAATCTAGTTTTGTAGAGATAGCTAATTATTAGATGTGACTAATATGTCTTCGAGAGTGGTAGGATTTAATTGAACTCAATTTAACTCACGTCATACTGAGATTCTTCAATTAAAAATAATTTTCTCATTAAAACAAAACATTTATAAGTGTGTTCGAAAAATGTAAAAAATTATTGTTTTATTTTTTAAAAAAAACTTAAACATTTTTTTAATTAAAAAAATTTTTTAGAATAATAAATTAAATTAATTCCAAATGATTAAATGTTTTTATTTTAATTTACTCTGCCATAAAAGTTGAGAAAAAACATGAATTAATTAGCAGCTTAAAAAAATTAATCAAAAACAATTGCACAAAGTATAAAGCAATTAAAAATAAGCATAAATAAATTGTCGCGGAATTTTTTTAAATCAATAAATGCTGAGAATTGAAAGTAATTTTTTCATTGTGAGATTTGAAACGTGTAATAGAGGGAGAGAACACGAGGAACAAGAAGATATAATCGAAATGGCAGAGAAGGAGGAAATGAATAAAAGGGAAAGGGACAAAACTATAATACGTGTTACAGAATCGCCCGTATGATGGCAGTAGAGTCAGAGATACGCAACAATCGTAACACGCGAGTCGCGAAGTACGTTGGTCTGTGCGGAGATCTGCCGCGTGGTACAAGCGGGAATTCCCCACTTTACGAGCACATAACAAGCACGTTTATGGCCACAATCACATGATTCCGTATATATTCTCAGCTATTAACCGTTCCATCAGTGAGTTACTCAGCCAAACAAATCGTAAAATTTCGCTCGAGATTCATACTGACCTAGTGCAATATATTGAATGGTCTTACTCCAAATTATTACTTGAATTATTACTCCAAAAGGAATTACTATACATCATGAATAATTTTTCTTTTAATTAATTCGTTTTCATTGAAGTTTTTATTATTCAGTTTTATCTTAAGTTTATCTGTCTGATATGTCTGCAATAAAATTCACTCTAATTTTTTTAGTATAAATATTAATAACTTGTTCTCTTTTTTAGATGAATTGATAACTTTACATACTTGAATATCTTGATTTTGTTAATTTATTATTTATTGTTATGAATTTTTATTAATAATAATTTTTTTATCTTAATATTTGATAAAAGTATGTTCTTGTTAATTATGTTTATGAACAATAATTGTCATTTAATGAAATTTATTGACCCTTCGTTGCATAAATTATGATGCAAATGGTGATTGAATAAATGAAATAAATTATTTCTTGCTCTTTTAAATGAGAACAATTTTCTTATATCATAAATAATTTTTCAAAAGCTCATAAAATATTCGTAAAATGATTAAATTGAATTATCATTTCTTTAATGCTATGTACTATTGACTACTGAGAAGTTATTTAATTAAAAAATTATTTTATAAATTATCAAAAAATAAAATGGAGTTGACTGCCATTTTTGATGAGGGTTGTTAGAATAAATAATGAGTTAATGAATAAAATGGAGTAAAATAAAATTTCGAAAATTAGGTAGAAGTGAGCAATGATTCCGTACAGTTTTCAGTTGTAAAAAAAAAGAGGAAACATATGTCTTAATAAGTACATCCTGGTGTACTTTTTTCATCCAACCGATTTTACGAGCCATAAGTTCTTACGATCAATGGGTCGTGAGACGCGCGCGCACACGTATCTCTCTCTGTCTCTTCTATCTTGTTTCGTTTGCTTCTGCGAATGCCGCCAGATGCCGTGGATATTTTATGACTCTTGAAATGGCTATACAGTTAATTCTCCAATTGTTATCTTTTTTATTGTACTCATCACACTTAGATATATTTGAATTGTAATGAGTCATTATTTATTCTTATCAATATTATCATTATTAAGATTAAGTAACATTTGAACAATTTGAATATTATCAGCTGTACCTGTTATAAAATTTTTTGGGAAACATAAATCTCATTTAATCGTCTTCTCGTCGTATCGTTGGAACTCAATAGGAAGAGCGATCGATTATGAGGCGTTTTTAATGCCATCAGTATATGGTTTAAAATTTTTATCCTCACCAATAGACATAATGATTTGACGATAAAGTAATCTACTGCGAGACATTGGAATGTCTCAAGTGAATTACCGTCTTTATCGCAAAGCCAATCTCAAGAGATACATACCATCATTTCGAACGGAAGAAAATTTTAACTCTCTCTCCAGCCACGAGACGGAAGGAGAGCGACGCGCAGGGCGCGTAGTGTTGCAGGGCCTTGGGGGGTGATTTATTTGAGTTAATTCCAATTCCATTGGAGCTGCTAGGCAGCGGGGGAGTTTGAGCGGACGGTAGAGGAGCGGTCGGTGAAGAGCCAGAGAGAAGAGTGGATGGAAGAGAAAGAGACGATGAGGAAGGTGGGTGCGAGGGGCCGGTGGATATTCTTATGCAATTTGCCAGAAAGGTTCAAGAACCTAAGAGATCCCGCAATTTATCTTGCCTTATGTTACGCCGAGCCAAGGCAACGGAAGATAGATGGCGTCACTGCTTTCAACCCCCTCATCCCACCCTTCGAAGACCCACCTTTCCTATACATATAGCTCAGCGACCACCTCACCCCTAGCCAATGAGAAACGACCGCAGTGGCCATCTTGGATGGAGAGTTATTGAACGAAAAAGATGAGTAAGAAACTTGTTATGGGGGTGCGATCTTTCCGCGCTATTGGGAATTGTCCGAGGGGAGATAGGAAGGAGCAGAGTGAGTAGGCCAACGTGGGCCAGTGTAAAGGATGGTAGAACAGACAACACCAGTCTCACGAGGGGTTGATGGCGCTATATTGATCAATTGCTTTGCCGTGCTTGGAGTTATTTTCCCACCGCCTGCTATGAGACACCCGCAGGACTAGAAACGCAACCCGCTGTGAGCTTGAGCTAAACTAATTATGTAATGATCAAGCAGTTAAAAAGTTTTTTTTTCTTTTCCCTACGACATAGATCATTACAGGTATTATATCCCGTCTGGATTAAACCACTTACCACGTCTCTGCTGGGTATCATAGATTTTTTCCTATCTTTTTATTTTGTAGATTATTATTGGATATAAGAAAACATCACGTATACATTTTTTACCGAGTCTTAGTAAATAAAATATACGAGTTTATAAATCAGAGCATTATAATAATTTGTCGATAAAAAGTTTGAAGTGTAACTTATCGACAAATATATAAAAGGTAGATAGTTTTTTATCTTCAGATCTCAAATAAATTTACGTGACATCTTTTTCAGATAAAAATTTCTAGTTATTTACGAGAAAATTTCTTGATTATATATTTTATCAATTTCACGTTCTACTTTCTCATTAATTAAAATTACAGAGTTAATTAAATTCCGAGTTATTCGAGCCAAAAAATTGTTCACCCAATTTGCAGTCAAATAATTTTTCTGTTGAAAAAAAAAAAATTCTACTTTTTATTTACAATCGTTCATCATAAAAATAAAATTCATTCTCTTTTTGATTTTTTCGAATAAAAATATTTCAGCAACTAAACAACCGATAGAAAACGTAGATCCCAATGTTATCTATCGACGGTCTATTTCCGTCACTGATTCCCGCAGGAATAAACTTGGCTCCAACCACAACAGATGACTCTGTAGCAGACGAGCAATTGCACCATCTACAAGTTTTAGCTAGAAACTCGACGATTCCACACAAGCTCAGTCGCAACCGCCAATGAGTTTGGATGCTAGTAAAAAGAAAGAGACGCGATCGGAGTGTGTCGACCCGAGTGGAGTGCGCGACATAGTGGGGGAGTATGTTGGTGCCAACTACAGCGCAGAATCTCATCGATCATTCCACCGTTTCCCTGTGTTTTATGCCGCCGTGTTGTACTGTGTAGTAAACCTCTCCTCTTTTCCCCGCTGTTCGTCATTCGCCGGCAACATCTCTCCCTCCTCCGTTCCACCACACCCTGGCGAAATCCTCCTACCACCGCGTTCTCGTGATGGTCGGCTGGCATTTCCCGCCGACCTTCACGAAGAATCCTTTCCTTTATATTTATCCTGTAACCTGACCAGAACAGTTAATGTGTCACGCCGGCCCTCCCCCGGTACCATCATTTTATAACCTTACAGTTCTTTTATCATTCTTATCGCCAATTTTGTTGCCATTCGTTTGTAATAAGTCTAACTTTGTTGTTGAAAAAAATATGCGATATTCTTAATAACCAAGTTCTGGCAGTTCTAACCTGATAAAAGAAGTTTCAAAGTGTGCGCGAGTGCATTCCGATGGAGGCGAAATGTGGGCACGCATCCCCATCGCGTGTCTCTTGACACTACACTACCACGTGGCAAGGCCGCGGTAGTAGAAGAATTCCGCCAACGGAAACTTGTGACATTCGTGAAATACCAGGTGACCGAATTCCAAGAAGGATCGAAAACACTGGTAACCCCGATGTTGGTGCGTTCAAAACATATTTAGATACCATAGATACCTGGTTAATTACTTTAATATCCAATATCTCCATTTTTACATACACTTGTTGACTTAGTGATTTTAATAACCAGGAATTTTGTTAATGAACTAATTAAGGGGTTTATTATCATTCATTAACGACAATTATTATTACTTTATTCGTGATCGATTAGATAATATTACTAAAATTACCAATGTTACCAGTGATTAATATGCGGTTTACAAAAAGATAATCATGACTATGTATGCAGAGTTTTATTGAGAATCATAAACCTGTTAGAATCTGTTATAAGTATCCAATTAGTTTTCAGGCAAATATTTCCTTCAGTTTATGAGAATATTATACGTTTTTACTCGACATTAATGACCATGATATCTTTGAATATTGGGTTGATGTGCTTACTAATAGTTGTGTAACAATTTGTTGATGATAAAATATTCATAGTTAATTTTTCAAGTATTATCAGCTTCTTCTCAATCAAAATTATCATTGAAATTTATAAAAAAAATTATCATTCAAGTTTTTAATAAATTTAGTCATGGAAACATTGAATATCAGTCTAATATTCACTAGTTAACTGCTTGAAAATTTAGGCTACGTTTTCCTTGGCTATATTGGTCTTGAATGATATCATAAATTACACAGCTATCTGCTCACTTAAGTATTCAATATATATGTACGTTGTGTAACTGTTTACAATTTATTGTTTCAGGTAAGTGACGTTGGATCGCCTCGAGAGCTGCTTCCCATATGTGCACATCTACCTGGCCTGGCATAATGTAAGCGTCTATCGCAAATTATAAGACAATCTCAATACACATTTCACTCCTTGATTGCTATATACATTTCGAAAGATATACGATAAGATAATTGAGCATTTGTCATTCTCAAAAAGCTCATTTTATTTTTGAATATTTGCTCTTTTTTCTTCGACTTAGATCCTTATTGTTCCACTTAAAACTCTTTACGTATAATCAACGTTTTTATTCGATTTCAATACCCGCTAGTATCTTTTTAAAAATATTTATCGCTTCAGAATGTTTTTGCAAGTGTGCTATGTTTGAATATTTACTTTATTGTAAACGCATTTGCTATGAATCATTGTTGATTTTAATAATCTATTACATCATTTAAATATTTTGTATTATTTTCGGCATCATAAGGATATAATCAAAAATATTATAATTATTTTTGAAATCATTATTAGTTCAAATTATTATGTTATATAAAATGCAAAATGTATTTCAGGTGTAAATTAGTAGAAATGAGGTGTAGTTTTATTAAATATCATTACAAATGATAGCGAAGATTTAGAAAAAAAAAATATCGATCGTTTGACTAATGACAACAATAATAAAAGTAGTTGGGGGCCAGCAGCGCTGTCTCTCGTAAGTGGTTTGAGTAATCCGCGTCAACGTAAGTTGTGAAGATCGGCCACACACCGTCAACTTGTAAAACACGCGGCAAGATTAAATGCTTCATTAATGTGATTAAAGTAAAAAGCTGTTTAAGTAATGAGGCCCAGTAAATCATTCGTCAGAATAAAGTTTTAGATTTTTATTTTTTTTAAATCTTATAGTTGATTTTTAAGACTAGAAAACATATTTATAGTATTTTTTTTTGTTTACTCCTTGATCATATTATATCATTTTATTTTTCTAAAACTATTTTATACTAAAGAAAGATTTACTATACAAAATAGGGAGGATAATTTATGAGTTTTTGGAGGAATAAAGGTAGAATCTAAAAGTAATTCTCAAGCAGCAAAAATTGGAGTATTAATTTTTTTATCCTTGAAGAGACTGATATTTACTGTTTTCTACTATACACAAAAGTAAAAGATTTAGTATATTGGCGATAGAACTGCCAGTATGTTGCCATACAAATGTCTGAATGATTACATATGCAATGTATTTTATACAATGAGCGCAAAGAAAAATTAAAAAGTGTGAATCTGCACCTTTCTTACACTTATAAGTCTTTTCAAGTTGGTATAGAAAAGACGTCACACCATGAATCATGATCCATGATACCTCTTTTACTTTTACTAAGTTCCGATTCTCATGAATTTCAGTCTGAAAATAAAATTAACAAGTATACATATTCATAAAAAAAATTTTAAAACCTTCATCAGGTAGATTAATTCAACCATTATCACTCAATTAATTAAAGGATTGATAACAAATCGAAATAATTAAAATTACAAAGTTGATTTTGAATAAAACATGGCATTGTGTGGATGCAATCAGCATGTCTTCTTGATATGCAAGAAGAAGGCCTTGACACTATACACATAGATCTGTATAAGTACATACTGGATGTGTTATAGAGGCGAAGGATACAAGGGAAACTGAGGAGAATAAATAAAAAATGGGAATGAGTGTAAGAAAAGAAGAATAAGTGAAGCAAGCACAAGGTGTTGGAATGTGACGCAAAGTGCAAGCAGATGTGATCGGCGATTATGCACTTACGGCGTTACTGCATATAAACGGTCCACCCGCCCTGGATAAACGTGCGTGTGCGCACGTATATAATGGCTGGACTCGAGAGCAATGCATCTTTCAGCGTGACATTGGGGTCTCAGACTAATCGCGCGACAATCTTCGCTGGACGGTGCAGAGTCTGCGCGATTTGAACCGGCATATAATGTGCGGACACAACAGAGTCCACGAGACCAAAAGATATGCGAAAAGAAAAAAAAATATTAAGAAAAACAGAAGCACGCGAGAAGATCTCACTGGACGACGAGCAAAACCCAACTCTGACTTGGAAAGTTCTTATAGATTATTTATGAGATATTTCTGCTTACGAACAAATAACATTCATATAATTCTGCTGAAAGTCAAACACCATGAAATATTTTAAATTATAGCTCCAAGAATATGGCAGATTCCATTTATTTTATCAGCATTATTATTTTTGCACCTCAAAGTTAGTCTTCATGATGAAGGTGATGTTTTTTTCTATATTCCCTTTTATTCGTTTTGAGCATTTTTTTTTGCAATAATAATTTAATTATTTGATTTCTTGAACTTAGAAAAATGATAAAAATTTTTGGGCAATTGAATTTTTCCAGGGATTCATTTTGGCAAAAGAATTTTCTCAAAATAATACCTTCTGTTGAAAATAAAACTCTTTGACGTAATTCAATTATTTTTAGTACCAATTTACATTTATATTACAGTGAAAGAATTCAAGGGGACTCAGGGTAAGGCAGAGTAATGGAGCATAAATGTATGTGAGATTCTAAAAGAATTAATCATACTCTTCTTTGTGACTTAAGTCATACGTTTATTTTTTGCAAGTATCTTTAAACAAAATTTATCTCAAATTACCTACAGAAAAATGAAACAATTTTTAAATTTAATTCATGAGATTCTTTATCAGCAAAAAAGAAAAAATAAATATTTTCAATGATAACTTTATTTACAATTATCCAGTAATAATTGAAAAAAATTAATTTTTTATATTATCCAGTTATTAATTAGCTTCGATAATAATTTTAATCTGGAGAATAATTAATAACAGCAATCAATGAATATAGAGGAGATAAAGATAATGTAAAGAAAAATCTTCTGACCAACATATCAGGAGTTTTTATAGTCCAACACATGATCCATTATTCGGCCGATGTGTAAATGAATTAAAAAAAAAAGCAGAATTAAGGGTCAATAAAAAAATTTGGAAACAAGCAGCTGTATTGGCGCCATCTCATCGTTTTATTCCTCCATACTGTCAGGTACATAACACGGAAGAGTCTGATAGGCATCTATTGAACGAACCTATGCGCAATGTGTTGACCGCACGCAGCAAGGCACACCTGTAATTTATTTCTCGATAGCCGCCTACCTCCCCATACCAATATAATCATTATAATTATTGTCTACCCTAAAATGGACTTTGATAATTATCGGTGGTATGTTTTCTAGTAAAGGCAATGAAAATTTTTTGTATCGACAAACATAAAAAATAAAGTTTAATGTGCCATTTTTCTGAAAACACTCTCTTTATACATATTTATTCACTACTTTTGTCATTGAAATCAGAAAGGAAGTCGATTAATATCTACACAGCAATTAATTTATGGTGTAACTTTGAATTAAAAAAAAAAAGAGCAGTTTCTTATGTACATGATGACAAAAAGACCATCGGAATATAAAAACATTTTAGTTAGGAATAATTTAATTCAATTGTTTATATGGTATAAAATGATCGAGAGAAAGCTGAATAATTTATGCTTAAATAATAAATTATATTGAGTAAATATATTTGCACATTGCTCCGCTGGATATTAACGTTATCAATTGAAAATTGTAAGCGTGAAGTTATAAATTATTTTAATACAACCGGTGTTTGTATTAATTTGTCCTTTTTCAAACTTCAATATGAGTCTACTTGAATTTAATTTATTTTCATATTTTATCTCACTAATTTTTACCATCATTTCTTAATTATTTAAGTACAGTAAAATATTTATCTGCAATTGTTAATTTATATCAATGTTAATTTCAAAAGAGTTAAAAGCTAATTTTTTATCCGACAAATTTATTAAAAGTCCTGCCAGTTTTAATTAATTTTACAATTATTGTTCGTTGTCGTCGATACTTATCAATGTAAAATTATAAAAAGGGTTGTTTTATGTACACATACAACTATTCTCAAATGGTCTATCAAGTACGATGATGATTATTTATTTTAGTAACATTCGTTTCAATTTACAACTGCACTTTGTTAAAAAAATATAATTGAATCATGTTCATTCTAACAGTAATAAATTACCCCACAACACAACGTTTAGTAAACGAAATTAATTATTAATCATTTTACTGGCGTGAAAAATTCTTTACGTAGCACAGATTTATTAATTAGAATAAATGTTTCTCTTTTAGTTTGGAATGCGATCAAACAGGTTGTTAAAGAAACTAATTTGTCGATAGGCATAGATAAATAAATATTTGTGAACTTCACATATTACAAATAACTGGCAACAACTTTTTTTTTATGCCAATTATAATGAAAAGAATATAATGTCGAATTAACCCTAAGGAACATTAAAATAATTTATTTGAAAATTATTTATAATTATGGCAATAAAATTTAAACATTATTAACTTAACACAAGAATAAAAAAGTCTTAATACACCGTGACCAGCTTTTTTTGCTTTTTAATTACAAGAAATGCAAGAATTGTATTATGAGAAGTGATACAATTACAATGTTAAATTGAAATAAGGTAATAATTGCTATTGCGAATGATAAATGTGAGCAACTTGATTATGAATACTATAGAAGTTGACAAGTAGTTTTCTAGTACGAGCTCAGTAACTTTTAGATATTAAACTGATAATATATTATGTTAAATAAATGACGTTAATTAAAAATACATTCACACGTGGTTTTCTCTGATGTAAACTATAGGTTGCATTTAATATTTAAATTACAATAAATGACTTGACATTCATCATTTCTTCAGTAATACATAAATTGTTTAAAATATCTTTTATCAAGTACTTCTTCTGTACATCAATGTTTTTTTTATTAAGTCAATGTTTATTATTGAAGTAATAAAAATATACCATTTTTCATAGAAAATATGAAAGTAAATTTACGCAATTTATACGTAGAAGTTTAAAAATAATTTCAGTTGTAATAACAGATGAAATTATTGTGCCTAATTCAAGCAAATACACGCTTAGTTCGGAGAAATCGACAGTCGTTATCGCCAAGAGTCGGCTGGGCTCAGATCAAACGGGTGAAAGTTAGAGGGGTGAACATGTAT